GGGATTAGGACATGGACTTCTTTGGTGGTGGTGGTGGTGGGGCAGTATTCTGTTGGCAGGTGACCTTCATGACTTTGCATGTAATATGGGAGGAGTGGAGGTGAGTAGAGCTTAGGGCCAGACTGAGTATCAATTTCTGCCTTTAAACCAGTCACACATGCATTCCCCTACCTGGCCTTCAGACATTTTCATTTCTCACCTGGCTCCTGGGCATTTGAGTTTTAGTCCCCATTGTGTAGTCCTAATAAAGCATGGCTATGTATTGGCTTTGGAGGTTGGTGGGCTGCAGAGTTTCAAGTTTGCAGACAAGGAGTTATTGAATAAACCATGTAGCACCTAGGGATTCTTGGCTTTCACCGGGTACCTGTTTGAAAGTAGAACCTAGTGAATTTTTCAGCAGCTCAGTAAATGTTGCCTCTTTAAGAAATCTTACCCTGAATTTGCCAAATAGAAATGAGGGGGTGTTTATTTGTATCACAAAAGGATTTAGTTTGTTTCTTTAAATAGCCAGCCCAACTATTTTCTTTAGAGTGTTTTAGTTAATGGGAAATTTGATTTGTACAACTTTTTAGGAACACATTATGTAAGGAATTACCTGCACCAGAAGCTCACAAGCTTTCCAAAGTCTGTTCCCAGCATGCCTGTAGAGTATGCTGGGGTAGACTCAGGTCATTTGACATATTGATTCATCCTCAGTGGGGATGGATTATTTATTTCTGTGGCTAATTGGAAGACTACGAAGTGACCTTGTCAGTGGTTGATTGACAAGTATCCATGGTGGTGGGACGTGAAAAGACCAGCCAGGAGCTACCTCTACCATGAAATTGGTTATGCTTCCTTCTTTTTCTATGACTGATGATATTCATTTTTCTGTTCATTCACTCACCAAACATTTATTTAGTGAGTAGCAAAAATGTACTAGAAATTGTGGTAGATACTAGGAAACTAGAGAAGGCCCCTACACCCCCAAAGGGAATAAGGACAAATAAGATAACTGATATATTGGATGCTTTGAAGAGAGTTTCCAGAATAAAGCAGCTAGTTGTAAATAGGGGGGGAGGGTAAAACTTTCCTAAGTAGTCCTGGGTCAAAGAAGAAATTAAAGCCATAATAATAGACCGCTTAGAAACATAAAACTATAATGGCACTAAATATAAAACATAGGATGCAGCCAAACTACTTAAGTGAAAGTCTTTGGGCCTTAAAATCTTTAAATTTTTAATGAAGAGGAATGGGAATAAATTAATTGAACAGTCAATTCAAGAAACTTTAAAAAGAACAGTAGCTAACAATAGCTGACATTTGTTGAATACTCATGATATGTTAGGCATGGCTCTGAGCATAGAATAATTCATTTACTTCTGACAACACCACCCTGATGTGGGTACTGGTATCACTGTCATTTTTCAGAGAAAAAGCTAAAACACAGGGGGGTGGGGTAATGTAGCTAAGGCTTATAGTTTTCAAAGGTGGATGCAGGATACAAACCTGGTCACCAGACTCCTGAATTCATATTCCTAACCAATAAGAAATACAAGTACAAGCAAGTGATATGAATACAGATATGTAAGACAAAAGAAAGCTAAAATAACAATTAATAAAGCACAAAAAACCCCAGTAGAATGGATAAATATATCCATGATCTGCTTTTTAAATGTGATAGCATAATAAACTAGATAGCATAGTTGGAAAAAATGAGACTACCTAACAATACACTATGAGGAAAGAACGAGAAAAGGGAAAATAGCATCCTAGATAAGATGGCAAAATTAAAACACATTGAGAAGAACACTGGACAATTTCCAGGGAAAACATATATTCCAAAAGTTAGAGAAAGAGGTGGAAAGCTTTACTTTGTTATTGAAATGTAGTGAAAGAGAGGTGAAGCTGAAGAAAGCTCAGGAATGATGCAGGACTATGCTATCTTCTCTTTAGTTTTATGTTGTTCTGAAAGTTCTAGACGTGGAACTATGATGAGAGGAAAAGAGATGATATATATCAATGCATATATATCAGACAGGAGAAGATAAAAATATTGTTATTTGGGGTCAGGTGCAGTAATCCCAGCGTTTTGGGAGACTGAAGTGGGAAAAACGTTAAATTCACAATAACATTAAAAAAGAAAAAAAAAAGAATCCCTCAGATGACACTAGAGAAAAATGTATGGTTTCAACAAGGGGACAATCAATTCCTGGTGGAAAGACTCATTGTTGTAAAAGTATCAATTTTTCTGAATAATTTCTAAGTTTAAGATAATTTCAATCAAAGTTCCAAACATTTTTTTGGATGGTGGGGATTAACTGAATACAATCCCAATGAAAACTCCGTTGGTATTTTTAAAATCTTGATAAACTGATTGTAAAGTTTACTTGAAAGAATAAACATCCAGTGTTATCCAAGAAAATGCTGAAAATAAAAATAATGAGAGAGGATTTGCCCTGCCAAGATATAACATATTATAAAGCTACTATAATTAAAATCCCTATTGCTGTACCACAAGATGAATCAGTGGAACAGAATAGAAGGCCCAAAGACAACCTCAGTGTATATAATTATTGAACATATAATAAAGTTGGCGTTTGAAATCAGTGAGGAAGGGATGAATTATTCAACAAAGGATGCTGGGACAATTGGTTACCTCCTTGGGAAAAAAAAAAAGGCCAGTCATGTTCCCATTTCACATCAGACTCCAATAAATTACAGATGGATTAAAGAGTTTAAAATGAAAATGATGCTATATGAGAAAGTACAAACCCTCTCCGCATGGGATAATATTTATATGACCCTAGGGCTTGAAGAAGGCTTTGAGGTATAGCTGGATTATTTTCTTTGTCCAGTGTTTCCTTTTAGTGGTCTGAAGTTATGCATAATATTATTCCTGTTCTCATTTTTATTCCTCTTAACACACGCACAGAAGCTTATAATGTCCTATATGTGGTTTCTTTTTTGAAATGTGAGGTACAATTCAGGGTTAGGTATATGAATGTTCATTATGCAGGTACCCTTGTTGATGAGATGTGCCTCCCCAGCCCCTGGCAGTTCCCCACTACTGCCAATCCCACCCCCACCCTCCCCTATGCGGTTTGTTAGTGTCTATAATTCCTGAGGAATATAAAACTCAGCACATTTCAATTTTATAGCCCTCTTTCTACCCCCACTTCTTATGACTTGAGTTCTCTCTGTTACTCTCTCTCTGTCTCTGCCCCTTTTAAATGTTTATATTATAGAAAATATCAAACATGTATGAAAGTAGATAGGTTAGTATAATGAGTGTCCATCACTGAGGTTTAATAGAACCCATCATGATAATTTTTTCCATCCACAACTCTCCTTTTTCTATCTCCTTCTTAGCATACTAAATTATTTTGAATTGAATTATTTTATCGAAAAATATTTCAAGATATAAATGCAAAGATAAGAATTCTGTAACAAAAAACTCCCATAAGACCATTATCACACCAATTTTTTTTTTTGAGTTGTTCAGGCTGGAGTGCAAGTGACACAATTATGGTTCACCTCAGCCTCTAACTCCTGGCACAAGCCATCCTCCTGCATCAACCTCCCAAGTAGCTGGGACTATAGGCACATACCTGCATACCTGGCTAATTTCTTTTTATTTTTTGTAGACATTAGAGCTCATTATTTTGTCCAGGCTGGTCTTGAACTCCTGGGCTCAAGCGATCCTCCCACTTTGGCCTCACCAAAAAAATTTTAATTCCCTAATATCAATTATAATAATTCCCTAATATCATCAGAAAGTGAGTATATTCATTTCCATTTCCCTGATCCTTTCAAACTATTGGTTTATTCAAATTAGGATCTAAGCAAGATCACATATTGAATTTAGTTGATATCTTTCTTAAATCTCTTTGAAAATATGTTTCTCCTCTTATTTTCTCCCTTCTTTTTTTTTCTTTCTTGTAGTTTATTTGTTGAAGAAATCACATTGGTTACCTTGTAGTTTTCTGTATTCTGGGTATTTTGTGCAGGGAGGGTGTTTCTTTGCTGATGGCCTTCTTGTGGTGTTATTGAATATGTTCCTCTGTCACTCGTGTTTTCTGTAAAATGTAGTTGGATCAAGAGACTTGAACCAGCACTTCATAGGTGGTGGTGTGAGCTTCTGTCAGAAGGCTAGGTGGTATCTTTCTGTGATGTTAGCAGCTATTGATTATTGTCACCTAGACCCATTATATCACTTGGGGTAACCTTGAGGTTTCCTGTTCCATTTTCATTTACTAAACATGGACTTTAGAAAGGTTCTGAGCTGGTTCCTAAAGCATAGTGCCCGTCCTCCAGAAGCCCACAATCTAGAGGTTATAAAGAAGATTTGGACAAAAAAACTGTAAAAGAAGATTGGAACAAAAATGTATTCATATATATTTTCTGAACATCCCTTCCTCCAACAAATGTAATCCCTGAATAGTGGAGCCATATCACAGATGCATTAAATTCACATATATGTATATATGTATTTGGTTGCAAACTACTAAAGTAACCACGTCATCATTGCCGTGTGTATCTTCCACTTGATTGACATTGTTTCTGGTGAGATGGGGGCATGAGTTTGGCATGCTGCTCACTCTGTTTCAGCATGTCCTTCATAATATGATCACCCAGTGTGGTTCTAGTGTTTAGAGATGTGTCTTTTTTATGCATTATGGGCCTAAACAAAAAGAACCTATATTCTGTTCTAAAACCCACAGAAGATCAGGCACTTTAAGGGATCTTCAAAGGGAGTGTAATTTTGAGCATATGGGATCTTTTGAACCTGCACTAACTTTAGAGGTTTAACTCATGTATGAAATGCAGCATCAGTGTACCCAAGAGTTTGACTTCACAAAAGGACAACATACAGAAACTAAAGTTATTGTTTATTTTGGCATAAAGTCTTTTCTTGCTGGTGAAGCCCAGGTTTAATGATCCCTTCCTCCCTTTCTCTCTCTTCCTCCTTTCCCCCTTTCCTTCTTCTCTTCTTCCTACCCTTATTTTCTGTTTTGCAGTTTGCTGCTTTGTTGTGCACAAGCGGTGTCATGAATTTGTCACATTCTCCTGCCCTGGCGCTGACAAAGGCCCAGCTTCTGATGTAAGTAAAGGGAATTGGCTGCTTTCTTCTGTTGACAGTCAGTGCATCCTTTGGGGCAAATGTGAGTGGGCATGCTTAAATAAGTAAGTCGGGGATATTCTCATTCCAAGGTGTGTGGTGGTCTCTACAGCCTCTGAGATAGTTTACCTTTCTGTAGAAACAAAAACAAAACAAAATATTTAGAGAGGGGATGTGGCTGGATAAGAAACCAGCTAGTTCTCCTACTAGGATAATTCTGCTAAATGTCTTCACCTTGACAGCTGAGGCATGGAGAGTGATAGGCAGGGGTTTTCTTGTTAGTGTGACTGTACAAAAGTCATTTTGGTGGTACTTTACAATGCACTTTATAGCTCTTTGTTAGGTTGTTCTTTATACTAGGATCCCATAATTAGAAAGAAAAAGTTGGTTTTGTTACCATGCATCCCAAAGTATGGCTGCTGGTGGGACAAGATTTATTTGTAGGTAAAATGGGCAAATAAATTTTGTTTTAATCATTATGACTTTATTTTAATGTGGATTGGAAAATGTATCTAGTAGTGGTTTTGCATTGATAGTAGGAGTATAGAATGCCTTCCCTAAGTAAAGGTATTTAGGTTAAACTAAAGATACATTGATTTAAAGACATTATTAAGTGGGTGATGTAAAGATAGGACAAAAGTTTTGGTACAAGTTTGTCTAAAGTTTGGGGTGCATTGTTGATTGCCTACCCAGCAGCTATTCACAGCCCTCACCCTCTTCTTTTCTTCCAGTGGAGGCTGTCTGTCATGCTAGGGGCTAAAAATGCCTGATACTTGCTTTCCAGACTCTCTTATAGCTAGTGAATGAGCACGTGCTCCAATCCTGCTAGCAGTGCCTGAGGGGCAGACTGGAGAAGGCGTCCAGGAAAAACTTTTTCTTTCTGATAAGAGATATATCCCTTTCTTTGTCCTCTCGTGCATTTTATGTGAGAATAATGTTTAGAGTTTTGGCAGCCCTTTTGGGTCAATGAGGGTGACACAGGTGACATCCTGAGCATGGCATAGTGGAAGCAGCTGAAGAAACTTGGGTCATTAATGGCATGGATGAGCTGCTGAGCCAACTCTGAGTCTTCTTATCCCCAGACTGGATAAGTCAGACAAGAAGCTTTTCTTGGCAAAGACTCATTGCTTGGGGCTTCTTTTACATGCAGCTCAAATTATCCTGACTGAGAGGATTTTCCACCATGCACAGTCTTCCACTGCCCTGTAATGAACAGCACTCAACACACCTCATATGTAGCCATTACCCCTAGTTTTTTTCACTTTGTTCCTGTTTTGGTTCACCTTCCTCGAATTTCCCCCCATGGGCTGTGTCTCTGTTGCTGGTCCTGTTACCCACTTAGACTTGACAGCTGTCTTCAGCATGCCTGAGGTGAGTAGTGACTACCATCTGTCAGTGAATTTCTTAGACTCCTGCTGGTCTTCTTCAAGTGGTCATCTGCCAGTTTGCAGCAAACCAGAGGGCGTATCTGCTGCTATAGCAACACATACACGCTGGAGCTTATGCTGCATATACTTTGCTTTAAAATGTGGTACTTGAGGTTAAGAACTCCAAGAAACATGGTCCAACCAAAGTCCTTTCAGGTATGCTTGCAAAGATAAACACTTGTCATGTTCTCCCAGATCCTACACTCTGGCCCTTGTAGTGAAATTTCTTCTCCAATCCCCAGGAAAACAGGCAGGAAAGTTCAGGGAAACTGCCTGATGCTGACCGAGACTTGAAACTGAAGTTGCAGCTAAGAGGATGGTGTTTCCCATATTCTGCCCATATCTGTTGAATGTTTCTGTTGCCTAAGACAGAAACTCAGCTCAAAATGGCTTATATGAAAAGGGAATTTTTGGTCCCTGAAATTGAAAAGCCCTAAGGGTAGATCTGACTTCAGGCACAGTGAATCAAAGCACTTAAATAAGGTTCTTGGGAACCCCTTTCTCCACTTATCGGCTTAGCTTTTGTCTGTGTCAGTTTTATTTTCAGGAAGGCTTTTCTCTTATAAGACCATGGTGGCTGTAGCACCTTTAGTATTACATCTTACCAGCACTGCAACCTGAGTGACAGGAGCTAGAGTCTCATTAGACCATAGGTTACATGTTGTTAGAAGAATGGGTTAAGCTGATTGTCCAGGCCTGGTTATGTGCTGCTGTGGTCTGAATGTTTTGTTCACCCAAAATTTACATGTTGACATTTTTAACCCCTAAGGTGGTGGTATTAAAAGACGGGACCTTCGGGAGGTGAGCAGGTCATGGGGGAGGAGCTCTTGCAGCAAGATTGCTGCAAGAAGGCAACTGTCTATAAGGAAGTGGACTCTCACCAGACCCCGAATCTGCCAGCACCTTGATCTTGGACTCCTCAGCATCCAGAACTTTGAGAAATAAATTTGTTATTTAAAAGAACCAGGTTTCAGTATTTTGTTATAGCAGCCCAAATGGACTAAAAGAATTTTGGTACCAAAAGTGGTTCAAAAGGAACATAATTCAAAAAAAATTTTAGGTTCAGAGGGTCCACATGCATGTTTGTTACATGATTGTATTGTGTTGTGGTGAGGATTGGGTCTTAGGTGGCCCATTCCTCAGACAGTGAACGTTGTGCCCCTTAGGTCAGTGGTTCCCAGCCTTTTTGGCATGGATAGGGCAGGGAGATCATCAGGCATTAGTCTCATAAGGAGTACACAACCTAGATCCCTTGCATGTGCAGTTCACAATAGGGTTTATGCTCCTGTGAGAAGCTAATGCCACCACTGATCTGACAGAAGACAGAGCTCCACATAACCACTGCTCATCTCCTTCTGTGTGGCCTGGTTCCTAACAGGCCACAGACTGGTACTAGCCCATAGCCTAGTTGGGGTTGGGAACCTGGCTGTAGGTAGTTTCTGAACCATAACCCCTTCTCTCTCCTGCCCCTTATTGGTGTCCCCAGTGTCTATTATTTCTGTCTTTGTGACCATTTAGCTCCCATATATAAGTGAGAATATGTGGTGTTTGGTTTTCTGTTTCCAAGTCAGTTCACTTAGGATGATGAGCTCCAGCTTCATCCACGTTGCTACAAAGGACATGATTTCATTCTTTTTTATGACTGTGTAGTATTCCATGGTGTAGATGTATATATCACATTTTCTTTATCCAGTCAATTGTTGATAGGCACTTACGTTGATTCCATTATTTTGCTACTGTGAGTAGTGCTAATTGTAAACATACAAGTACAGGTCTCTTTTTAATATATTGATTTATTTTCCTTTCTCTAGTAGTAGGACTGCTGAGCCAAATGGTAATTCAATTTCTAGTTCTTTGAGATATCTCTGGCCTGTTTTCCATAGAGGCTAAACTAGTTTACAATCCTACTAACAGTGGATGAGTGTTTCCTTTTCTCTGCAACCATGCCAACATTTGTTGTTCTCTGACTTTCTAGTAATGGCCATTATGACTGGTATGAGGTGATATCTCATTGTGGTTTTAATTTGCATTTCTCTGATGATTAGTGATGTTGAGCATTTTTCCATATGTTTGTTGGCCACTTGTGTGTCTTTTTTTGAAAAGTATCTATTTATGTCTTTGCCCACTTTTTGATGTGGTTATTTGTTTTTTTCGTATTGAGTTGTTTGAATTCCTTGTAGATTATGGATATTAGCCTTTGTCCAGGATGTAATTTGCAAGTATTTTCGACCATTCAGTGGATTTTCTGTTCACTTTGTTGATTATTTCTTTTGCTGTGCAGAAGCTTTTTAGTTTAAGTCCCATTTTGTTGCCATTCCTTTTGGGGACTTTTTCATAAATTTTTGCCTAGGCTGAAGCTCAGCAGAGTATTTCTTAGGTTTTCTTCTGGGATTTTTTAGTTTCAGGTTTACATTTAAGTCTTTGATCAATCTTAGGTTAGATTTTGTATATGGTGGTGGGGGGGTCCAGTTTGATTCTTCTGAATATGGCTAGCCAATTTCCCCAGCACCACTTATTGAATAGGGTGTCATTTCCCATTATTTATTTTTGTTGGATTTGTCAAAGATTGTTGGGTTGTAGGAAAGTGGTTTTGTTTCAGTGTTCTCTATTCTGTTCCATTGGCTAATCTCTCTATCCATGTACCATGCTGTTTTTAGCCTTATAGTAAAATTGAAATCAGACAATGTGATGCCTCCACAATTGTTCTTTTTGCTTAGAATTGCTTTGGCTATTTGGGCTCTCTCTTTTATTCCATATAAACTTTAGGATTTTTTCTTCTGGTTCTGTGAAGAATGAATTTGGTATGTTGATTGGCATTGTGTTGAATCTGTAGATTGCTTTGGGCAGTATGGTCATTTTAACAATATTGATTTTTCCAATCCATGAACACGGGATGTTTTTCTATTTGTTTGTGTCATCTACAATTTCTTTCATCAGTGTTTTGTAGTCCTCCTTGTAGAAGTCTTTCACTTTCTCAGTTAGGTGTAATCCTAGGTTGTTTGTGTATGTATGTGTCTAGTGTGAATGGGATTGAGCTCTTGATTTGGTTCTTGGCTTGAGCATTGTTGGTGTATAGGAATGCTGACAATTTTTGCACCTTGATTTTGTATCCTGAGATTTTACTGAAGTCATTTATCAGGTCTAGATGCTTCTTGGAGGAGTCCATAGGGTGTTCTAGTTATATAATCATGCCATCTGTGAACAGGGATCATTTGAATTCCTCCTTGCCAATTTGGATACCTTTTATTTCTTTCTCTTGATGGATGGCTGTTGCTTGGATACCCAGTCTTGTTCCTGTTCTGAGGGGAAATGTTTTCAACTTTTCCTGGTAAAGTATGATGTTGGCTGTTAGTTTGTCATATAGTTATAGCTCTTATTATTTTGAGAGATGTTCCTTCAATGCCCAATTTATTGAGAGTTTTTATCATAAAGGGATGTTGGATTTTGTCAAATGCCTTTTCTGCATCTATTGAGATGATCATGTGGTTTTTATTTTTGCTTTTGCCTATCTGGTATATCTGATTTGCAGATATTGAACCATCTTTTCATCCTTAG